CCCTCTTTCCTCCACCAATAAAAGACGGCGTAAAAATTGGACCCTAATTTCATGAATTGGGGCCTGTCATCCTTAATTGCGTAGGGGACATGCTAATCTTTTTTCCATTTTTCCTTAGCATAAGGTGCCGGTCATCTATCCCGACGGCTGATGAGCGCGCCTGCCGCTTTTACTCGCTGTCGATGGCTCCCATGATCCCTTTCTTAGCGACGCACTCGGAACAATTCACCATTTTTCTGTATCTTTGTGACTTTTTTGGGTGGGGTAGCGTTGAAAAACAAACCCATGTCTTTGTTTAACCCAAAGACTGCAACTGGTTAAGTATACATTATTCCGCGAGTGACGAGTTAACCCGGCCGGATTTTGATTAAAAAAAAAAAAAAAAACACCAGGGGAAGTGTAAAGTGGTTCAAGGCAGACTAGTTTAGTAGGTTAGAACAGCGGAATCATAATTCGCATGTCGGGGGTTCATCTCATCATGAGGGAGCAGCAACGTTCTGGAAGCTGGGCTGGAAGCTGGGTGCTGGCACCCATGAAACTTCCTTTCTAGGTGTATGCATGAACACCTGCGCTTCTGTGGGCTAGCTTAAAATGTATCTGACTCCATTTACGTCCGGGAACTGGATGCATTTGACGGCAATTTCGTCCATAAGCCGGCAAACAAGTTGTACTGTGAAAACGCCCTAAACCATTTTCCATTGTGTGCGCGAACAGCTCGTCGACGCTTGAAAAAATCATCCTCTCCGTCCTTCTTCGGGACATCCGTTAAAATTGGAACGATACAGAGAAAGACTCAGAAGAGTAGCATGGCCCCTGCGCTTTCAAGGATGACACGCATCAATCGAGAAATAACACGGTTTATGAGAAATGCTTGTTTACAGGGACGCTGGACCCGATTTCCAGCCAGCAGGTGTTGCTCCCCACCAGCCTTCCCGACCATGCTAGCGGTGTCTGCTCTTATCAGCACCTCTAGCATTCGAACGGGCTGTTTTTTCCAAAAAAAAAAAAAAAAAAAAAAGAGAGAGAGAAATGGTCCACATTTAAATATATATATTTATAGAAAAAAAAGGAAAGCCTCCATCGCTCTTTTCAGCACCTGAAAAAAAGTCCAATGCCCTGATCAACACCATAAGGTCATTTTCAAACAGCAGAGTTGTGGGAAGCTGCACTAGCATCCCTTGCTGATAGGGCACCGTGATAAACCGCTGGATTGACGGGTCCTTTCTCAGATAAGAGGCAGCCGCCTCCATAATGAACAAGAAGATACGTGTTGCCACGGGGTCCCCCTGCCTGACTGAGTGTGACATCTTGTATTTTGCTGATAGATGACAGCTGACCTGGACCTGTCCCAGTTCACTTGGTCGTACGCTTTTTTGAAGTCAAAGAGAATTGCTGCATTGATTCTTTTGTCCCTGATATAGTGTACTGACTCTGTCAGTATTCTAATGTTGTCCAAAATGAACCTTCCGGGTATAAACCCAGTCTGGTCCAAGTGGAAATATCCTGTGGTGACCCCTCTGAGCCTGTTGGCCAACGCTTTAGCCACTATCTTATGCGTTATCCGGCTGTAGTTGCAGATATCCATCGGGTTTCCTTTTTTCTACAGAAGCGTGAGTATTCCCATAGCTGGGTCCTGGCCCAATCCCTCCTGCCAGGCCTGATTGAGAAATGCTTCATATTTTTCTTCCAGGACTGGCCAAAATTCCAACCAGAATTCCCTGGTCACTGGTCAGGCCATCCTCTCCCCGTGTCTTGTTAGGTGCCATGGATTTGAGTGCTTCCTCTAATTCCTTCTGCGATAAGGGTGCATCTAGCATTGCAGCTTGTGCCTTGGGGATTGTTGGTTGGAGATAGTTCAGGAACCTATTCTATTTCATGCGTCAGCCACTGGTTGCCTGTGAATCAGACACCTCAGGCTATTATAACTCCACTGGCTCTGGCATGTGTTCTGGAGAGAGAGCATCTCCAGTCCGGGGTTCTATCAAATGATCACAGGGTTGATCATTGTCATTTGTAGTCAGGGCAATCAGGCCAAAGTGGATTGGAAGTGGGGGGGGCAGACGCAAGAAGTGGAAGCTGATCAGCCACAATCATACTCAAGAGTGGCTGCAAGTCATACGAATGCTGCACAGGTGGCTGCACCGTGTGTGTGGTGCACATGCAGGGCTGCAGCACTGTGAAAATCATCACAACATTGTGGACAGTGGACTCAGTATGTACTACTTCTGGCTCGCGTGTATTGGGAGTAGCAATGTCATTTTGTATGGCTGTGAGCATGGCGGCAGAGTAGATCTCTGACTACCGGTGGGGGCGGAATGATCCTGCTGTGCATGGACGGACAAGGCCGCCATCTGGGAGGCAGCAGTGGAGATGGGGAATGTCTCTGCCGAAAAGGCTTCTATGATGGGCAATCTGACCATGAATGTATAAATGTTGAGGACAACGACAACGGGGAGGAAAGAGAGAAGGACAAAGAAGGGGAGGCAGTAGAGAGATTGATGTTGTAGAAGATACCGACGGGGCTCGTAGCAGTGTGTGTGNAGGAGGAGGAGGAGCTACAAGGAGGTGATGGAGGACGACGTGGACGATGACGAAGAGGACGGAGATAAGGAAGGGGGGGAGGAGGAGGAGGAGGAAGAGGAGCTACAAGGAGGTGATGGTGGGCACGTAACTCCCGTGGTGGTTGGTGATGGCGACGAAGACGACGGTGGCCGCAGCTTCGGGGTAGCACGTGGGCACCAGCGACGGAGATGGGGACGCGGCGGCGTTGGAGACGACGATGGAGCCGACAACAGGGACGACGGGGGGGGAACGCTGCTCCAGGCCAGCTCGGGGTACGTCGATGCGGGCCGCGTGGGTTCGATTTCGAATTCGAATTCGAATTCGAATTCGAACCCGGGTCGCGATTCGAAATCGGCCGTCGATCAGAGCGGATTAACGACCGACATTACAATGCCCAAAAAAATTGGGTCTGCTCGGGCCCAATTTTTTTTTCCGATGGAGGGGTACAATCGAGGACCATCCCGGTCACCTCGCCCCTATGGGACCCCGTTTTCCACTTTGACCCAAGTATGCGCGGGGTGGCCCGGGGTTGCGACCGGTCCGGTCGCCCGGCCGGGCGGGCCGGGCAGGTCCCGGGCAAGGTTTTGCTGCCCGGGCGGCCCGGATCGTAGCCTAGCTACATCCCCTTTTTTTTTTTTTTTGGATTTTGATGTTTTTTCAACTTTTTTGTGATTTTTACAAAATAGAAAACAAAAAAAAAAAGTATTAAAATCAAAAGAAACATAATAAAGAAAACTTCAAAAAGGCAACTTTCTATTTTTTATTTTTTTCTGAATGCTGCCAGGTGGGATAAACATGGTGCACATGTTTCTTTGCTTCTTTTTTTTTCCCGACATATGCAAATATAAAAGGAAAAAAAAAAAAGATGATAATGAAAAGAAAAACCAAAGCCGTTTTCATTTTCTTTTTCCTTCTTTTTTTTTCATTTTGATAGACACACATACGGATTGATTGATTGATTGATTTGATTAGAAAAAAAAAAAAAAAAAAAACGCTAGTTTGTGTGTGTGTGCGTGTGTGTGTGCGTGTGTGTGTGTGTGTGTGTGTGTGTATGAGTATGGGCCTGTCTCTTATACACATCTAGATGTGTATAAGAGACAGGAGAGAGAGAGAGAGAGAGAGAGAGAGAGAGAGAGAGAGAGAGAAGGCGAAAGATGGCAGTGGCTGCCAATCGACGCAATGGGCAGTTGGCAACGGTGCTTGAGTGTGGAACGCTGGACACCAATGACGCACACTGCAGAGCGACGAATCGCCGACTGCCGGCTGCGGAGGCTGAGGCTAGACAGCTGTTGCAGAGCATAGGTCGTCAGTCTCCGTTGCTGCAGGCAGCTATTCTTGACGCCGTCATCGCCTTCGGCACGACGTCGAAGCCCAGACGCTTCACACTCCCTTGTGGCGACCGGCGCTTGAATGCCCGGCAATTGTGTGCAGACACCGTCGTCCGCGAAGCCACTCTGGCCAATCCTGGAGGGACTGATCAATCCTGGCTCAGCTCTTTCGTTGCCACATACGAGGTTGCAATGAGTTTACATGGTCAAGGGTTTTTCGGGGATTCACTTTATCGTCCGCGAGCATTCAAACAGCTGGCCGATCAGGGGGCATGGAACATGGACCGTCCGATCCTGGTATCAACGCGGCGATACGCAAGATTGGCCACCTACTACGTGATTCAAGTCGACGACGGGAGACTTCGGGCGGATTGTTGGGTCTAGGTTGGACCGAGATGGAGAGAGACTGTGAGAGGAGGAGAGAGGAGAGAGGAGAGAGGAGAGAGAGGGTGGAAGAAGGGGCTGAAGCTGGTAGAGCAGCAGGCTAGCAGCAGTACCAACTGTGGCTCGTCTGTCAGAAGTTAACGGTACACTCTTCTGGGGCCATTTTTATCTTTTCTTTTTTTTTTTTTTGAGCCCTTCTTCCTGCGTGTTGCCCCCAGGCTAACTTCCACGAGTTTTAGAGCGAACTACGGTAGGGATCTGTGACTGAATTGTACCGTACGTTCAATCGGAAACGACGGGTGGCGAGTCCAGACCCAGGCCGGGACCTGGACCGATAGCGATCTGCGGACCTCACTCCAAAAATAACAAGCTGGGTCTCCCCCTGGCCATTGGACCGTAAGACCCTGATAACCACCGGGGGAGCCCACCCTTCTTCCCAATTTTTCCCCGAATAGAACGTACGGTCGTTATTGCTGTACCGGGGCAAATTTCAGGGACAGGGATAAGCACCCTACGGTTTTTTTTCACTTTCGTGGGGGAGAACGGGGCCCCGGTTCTTTCTTTTTTTCTTTTTTTTTTTCGAAGAAAGGCCCTTCCCTCTATCCTGGCGGTGGTAAGAGAACCGTCTTTGTAAAAAAAATATAAAAAAAATAAGAGAACCGTCAGAATTGCGGGCTTATCTGCCGGACTGCTCCATCTATTGGTCGGGAGCGGCACCTTATGGAAATCGGGTCCAGCCCGCGGCCAGCCTTCAGTAGGGTCTCTGCCGCCACCAGTCCCCAAGCTAGATAGATTACCCGTGGTGGGGACCACCACGGTTTTCTCTTCAAATGGAGGCCATAGCTGCAAGGGGCACCACTCTTGACCCTCACCACATGGGTGAGTGCTACAAGACAAGTTGCAACTGGCCGGGGTGGTCAGTTACTTACCCCTTTAAAAAGGGGTGGTGAGTTACTTACCCATTTAGGGTGAGGTCCATGGAGGAGGCACCACCCCGCTTGCAGGCGGGGTGCGGGGGAAATGGCCAGTGTGGTGAGAAAATCACCATGACGACGGCCGTCTCTCCACAGAAAAGAAACAGTTACCACCATCTGACATGAAGGCACGGTCAATGATTGGTGGAGGCCCTGGAGGGTGGAGCAAGGACCCTACTCTCCCAAAGTTGAATGTTGTGAGTGGTGGAGGGAAGCGTTAGTTATGGGATCTTTTGAGTCTACAAAACAGGGTCTGTGCAGCTGGTGGTAAAAAAAGAAGGGGAAAAAAGAAACAAAGGCCAAAAGAGCTAGCTGTAGCAGTAGTATGCTACACCCCCGGAAGAGTTGCAGTCTTGCAGATGCAAGAGGAGTAGGTAGAGGAGCAGGTAGAGAAGGAGGAGAGCGACGACGAAGAAGAAGAAGGAGAGAAAATGGGCCTTATAGCCACCCATTGCAGCAGTCAAAGGGTGGACAAAACGGGCCTCTCAACGTTCCGGCCATTCAAGGGACCAAGAAATAGTGGACTGAATTGACCAGTAAAGTGGGCCGCAATCTCTTTGCTTCCTCCATTTGTTTTGAATAGGTCTACTGGAGATACCAAGGAGTGCGGCAAAGTGAAGAGAGGAGGAGAGAGAGATGTTGGAGGCCATACTACCTTTCTGAAATGTTGGCTGAGGAGGAAAATGATGAAGATGATGACGAACCTGAACACAAGGAGGAGGAGACTGACAAGACTACTCCCGCGGCAAGAGAGAGAGAGAGAGAGAGAGAGAGAGAGAGAGAGAGAGAGAGAGAGAGAGAGAGAGAGAGAGAGAGAGAGAGAGAGAGAGAGAGACTTTGTGCGGCAGAACAAGAAGAAAGACGACTTACTAGGAGGACAGTACGAAGAAAGAGAGGAGTATGAAACAGGGGAACTTCAAGAGGGAGATGTTGTCCTTTCACATATCTTCCATTTGTGCATGCATTTGTTGCTATGGATGAGACAGCCCGACAGCTGCACTGAGCACTCTAATTGTTCTCCATCTGAGGAACACGTCAGCAGTTTTTCACACACTCCGTGTGCCAGGTCTTTGGCACTCAACGCTTGATGACACTGAGACACGGCTGCGTCGGCTGGATATCCACGTGTCAGGTCTCTGACACAGAGTCCCCCTGCAGTGTTGTTGTCTTTTGAATGGCTTCCACAGGCCACATGGTGAAGAGGTCATTACGGGCCTGGCCACGCTACTGCCGCCTTGGCCATTTTCAGGAGTGCAGCGTCGTCACACCAGCTCCCGACACCCGAGTTCAGCCTGTCAGATTGAATTCGGGAGTTGTCAGAAAGTGGCTCCCGAGAGCACTACCGAAATCGCTTGAGCCTCCCGCCTGTAAAAGGCCATTTTCGGGATTCCTCTCGCGGAGGCCTATGTTTTTGACCGGAGAACTCGTGCGCAGACAAGCATTCTCCTCACAGTTTTTGTCGCCATATGCTGGACAATTATGCTGGACAGTCTCTGTCTGAAGTGCGCCTGCTGGCCTCCAAATCTGAGAGCGCTCCAAGTCAGGAGTGCAATGTGGCGAAGCGTAGTCCCGAATGGATTTTCATGTCTTCCGACGTTCGTGAGTACACCTGATTTTTTTCTCCAAGTCGGGTGTAGTGTAGCGAGGCCCTACCTCTCTGGTGTAGACTTCTGTGCATAGATTCCTTTCCATGATAAAGTTGAGTTGTGGATGTTACCTCTTCTGGCGTCTAGAATTCTGTACATAGATTGTTTTCCTGGATAAAGTTGTGGATATTTGTTTCTCTGGATAGACTTGAGGATATAATATAAGTTCCCTCCCCGGCGTCCCTGCCCCCCCCCTCCTCCCTTTACTATAGTATAAGTTGTTCATCTAGGGATCACAGATAGCAGACCACTGAGAGAGAAGGCGGACTACTTTTTCTGTTGGCATCCCCTTGGCTGAGTTGAGTCGAAGTCTTTGTTTGCCCCTTCAGTCGGCGGAAAGGACAATGGAGGGATTGTGATCATGATGGAATTTGCAGGTTATTCAAAAAGATGTTGCTTGGAAATTATTTAATATGTACATGGGACACTGGACCTGATTTCTGGCCGGTGGAGGCCCAAAGGACAATGGGGGGATCGTGAATTGGAACGCTGAGGTTATGCAACAGCATGGTTATTGGAAATTATTTTCAAATTTTTACATGGGACGGTAATTTTTACATGGGACGCTGAACCCGTTTTCCAGCAGCTGCTGCTTCCCACCAATAGATGGAGCCATCCTGCTAGCAAGGCCTCAATCAAGGGCCTGGTTTTACTGCCACGTGGATAGAGGCCTTGCCCTTTTTTTTTTTCTTTCTTTTTTTTGGGGACAAAAGCTCCAATCTATTCGTGGGGAGCAACACGTGCTGGGAACCGGGCCCAGCGTCCCATGTAGAATTATGCAAATGATTTGAAAAAACAGGGCCATTACATGGCTTTGGCTAAGAACAATCTGAGAACTTATGAGACCTTATGAAAAAGATTCAGGAAAGTTCAAGAAAATTTAGGGAAAACGTGCATACTGCTGACCTATTGCTAGGTAAAACAGGAAAACCACAGATGTCCTTCGAATACTCAGAATCCCTGGAATCCCCAACAAAACACTCTAAAAATTCTCTAACACTGTCTAGTTCCCTGTCGAGCTCTCCCAGGCCTCATGCCCCCACCCTGCTAGGTTACAAGGTAACACAACTCACCCCAGCTCCGGCCAGCGTTGTCCCGACAGCAACCCTTGGTTTTCCTTTGGAATGCCCGGCCCAAAGCATCCCCAGATCTCTCTACCAGGCCTCACGGCGCTCACGCTCCAGCTATCAACAGGTTACAGGGTAACCCCCCAGCACCGGCCAGCGTCGTTCTGGCGTCGAAAAACCGTGGGTCCATGAATATAACAGCATCAAATAAGCCTAAAATGAGTTGCAAGAAGTACCCAGAATCCTAAAGTATTCTCAAGAATTTCAGAGAACCGCCCTTAACTGAGCAGTGATCGTCCTTTGATGGCAATGAGAAAGACTTTTTTTTTTTTTTTGGAAGACTATGCGATGTGTACGATGAAAATTTTGTAAGTACTGAACTGAGAACCTGCAAGAAACAATCTGATAAGCTTAAAAAACAGGAAGAAAGCAAAACGAAAATCTCTTTCCCCGCACCACAGAGGAAAGACAGCTTCCCAAGTGTGCAGTCCTCGTACCAGAACTCGCCTGTTTACTTAAAAAAAAAAGAAGGGCATGGGGGCTCGTTAGACACTCCTATTGAAATCCTCGGGCAAACGAAAAAAAAAATTTTGGTTCAAAAGGAAATTTGGGCCCTTAGTTCCACCTGTCCTCGGGGACGTCCCCCAAGGACATTTTCTTCGAGCGATGTCAGAAAAAAAAAAAGAAAAAAAAAAGAAAAAAAAAGAAAAATCAAAAGTGCTTGAGGCCTTCAGCCAATAGGGTGCCGCCACGATCCAGATTCTCGGTTGCAACAAAAAAATTCCCACGAAAAATTGAAGTTGAAAAACATTCCATAAAAAAAAACTCCATATTTATAAATTATCATTCCAATGTTCGTCCAATTCTAAAATTTTCAATTTAATTTGATAAGTTTCCGTCTAAATATGAGTTTTCCCTTCCAAATACATCTATTTGTTCAAGATGGAATGAAAGTCTGAACGAGTTTACGAAATGTTTTAATTAGACTTTCATTCTAGTACAACAAATATCTTCTAATTTAGATTGGATTAACCTATTTATGACTGGAAATCCTTACTTAGAATGACAGTCCAATTAAAATATTTCATGAACTCATCCAGACTTTCATTCCATCTCTAGCATGCATTTCAAATAAGAAGGGATACCCCATTCTTGGAAGGAAAGTTTTCAAGTAAGATAAAAATTGTTAAAATTTGAATGACATTTTTTTAAAATGGAATGAAAATTTAAAATTTAGAATGTAATTTTACTCTAGAATCATTATTTAATTCTGAAAATTTTTTCTCTTGTGTAATGTCTCTCTACTCATGTGCCCGCTCCTCTCCGTGAAACGTGGAAAGATATGGCTGGGGAATCCACGAAGCCCAAGAAATTTCTTTCGGAGTGTTTTCAGTTTTTTTTTTTCGGACTGCATCCCCAACGATAGGTGGAACGAACAATCCCTCAGGGACTTTACGCGCCCGAGGAGTGTCTAACCATCCCCATAATAGATTTTTTTTTTTTTTGACTGTGGCAGGATACATGAAATTTGTTGTTGTTGGGTCAATACAGGTGTTCGACTCTTTCCTCTTTTGTTAAACATCTACCGAGTTATGTTGTCTTTTGTTAAACACTCTGTGTCCAAAACCACTGTGTGTTCGACTACGAGTGGAGTGTACTGTGTGCGTGTGATCTTTGCTTGTGGATACCTGTGCATGTATTCCTGAAAGATTTCTCAGATTCATGTCAATACAGGCCCTAGGCCCAAAATTATGTCCAACAGGGAGAACTCTTTCTAGTTTTTTTTTTTTTTTTTTTTAATTGAAGGCCCCATCTATTGGTGGGGAGCAACACCTGCTTTCTATATTTGGTATGTTTTTTCAGAGAGTATAGAAGTAGACCTGAATGTACAGGCTGCCTACCAGGCACTGGCCGACAGTCCGCTAGGATGAGGTGCTCTTATCACCTGTCCTAGTAGAGAGACTTTTTTTTTTTTTTTTTTTTTTTAAAGTTATTTCCCTTCTTTTTTTTTTTTCTTTTTTTCCCTTTTTTTTGGAAAAGAACTGCGCGGATTGAAATTTGTTATTTCCTGGTGTCGCTTGCAGTACAGGCTGTTTGGCCAGACGTATGTCCAGGAGGACAGCCTCTTTTTTTTTTTTTACCTGGAAATTACGCGTAACATATTTATCTGGGGAGACTGTGGCTGTGACACACTTTTAGTTTGAAATAGGCAAGAAAAGACAAAGTAACACCCGTGTCATGGTGTGAGTTTCTAAATGACATTGTGCAAAAAGTTTAGCAGGGGTCTAAAACTGCACCAGTCTACCTGCAGTTCCGCTTGGCAAATTTAGGGTCGCTTTTTTTTCTCCTTTCTAGGAACTGCTTATTTAAGTTGCCTATTCGGAACGTTGGGTGTGACTCCAATGTACTTGCCCCTCTTTTTTCACGCATGTCAGATACTCCGATCTATGGTCCTCCTTTTTTCCATAAGAATTTGAACCATATCTCTATTATGTGTATCATCTTTGCCCAGAGGGCATGCCAATCTTCTCTGTATCGTTCCGATTTTAAAGGATGTTCTGCGAAGGACATTCTCCGATCTATCGCTGGGGAGCAGCACCTGCTAAAATAAGCGCCCAGTGTCCCATAATTATACATTGAAAAGTAAAATGATATCCTACCCATTCGGTCCATTTGTTCCCTTTAAATTTTCTTGTATTAAACGCATAAGATGTGGTACAGGTCAGGAAAATCCGAATGGCATATGACATTTGTTTGAAGGTATAGGATAGCTTAACACCAAATAACACTGCTAATATGCACTACCAACATGCAAAACCCCCAAAAGAGCACTCAAAATTTAACAGCTAGTTTCCTGCAAGTAAATTATTTAGGTACTTTTAACGAAATGGCATTACAGTCAGTCAAGGCGGACTAATAAAGTTCACATCTCTCTCTCTCTCTCTCTCTCTCTCTCTCTCTCTCTCTCTCTCTCTCTCTCTCTCTCTCTCTCTCTCTCTCTC